TATAAGATAAATAATATCTGATCTTGAACAAAAATTTTTTTCTTCAATTTCTTTTTTTATAATAGATATTATTATAAGAAAGATTATATAATAGATATAATACATTTTTATTTTTATAGTATTTATAGTATTTAGCTATTCTATATTATATTATATTATATATACTATATTATATATATATATATCTTTCATAAATGTTTATGTATGATTAATCATTAATTTTTTCGTTATGTTTATAAATAACTTAAATGTTATTTTCAACAATTCAAATTTAATAGATATTAGCCAAATAAAAGTGTATAAATTATTTTATAAACATTTTAATAATAATAACAAATGATATATTAATAATGTTAATAATCAACGAAATATTAATAAATTAAAAAATTACATATATATTTAAAATTAAATATATGATATAATCAATATCATAATAGGAGGTTTATATCTGAGATTAATATTAACTAATTCTTAACAAAAACTAAAAAATAAAACATTATTTAAAATATAATAATAGTAATGATATAATAAACGAAATGTAAAAATAATAATCATAAATTATTTTTTAAGCAATTTTTTCAAACGAATATCTATGATGAAATATCTATAAAGACAATATTTACTATTAAAACTGATAAGATAATACAAAAAAAGTAATGAATCAGAAAAGACGCATAAAATTTCAAGATTTCGATTGCATTATTATTAATAATAATTTGCATTATTTTTTGATATTACGATATTTATATAATTTCTTCGTTTTTACACAAAATAATGTAAAAATTATCGACAAAAGATTTTAAAAAAGAAAAAAATAAATTTTATGTCAATTTTAAATATTGTAGATCAATTCATATTATTATGTATATATAGTGCATATATTATTGAATATATGGTAAAACTAGATATAAAAAATTAGATATAAAAAAAAATATGTTAAAAAAATTATTTATAACTTTGAAAATTTCGAAAAAAATTATTACAATTTAATAAATAAATCTCATATTTTTATCTTTATTTTAATCTTTACTATTTCTATTCTTCAAAGATATCCTAATATATATACGAATATATTTATGTATATATATTTATATAAGAATTGTAATAAATTTGAGCAATTGAGAGCAAAATTATTTCATAGTTATTGATTTACATATATAATAATTATTTTTTGTGTTTTATAATTGTGAATACATGTAATAAGAAGAATTTTTTATAGTTATATAATTTTTTATTTTTATATCTAATAGTTTTTTAAATTTAACTATCAATATATTTATTATTTTCAAATTTCCTAATTACAATAAGAGAATGAAATTAAATATTCAATATAATTAAATATGCAAAGATATTAAATTAAATTAAAAACATTAGAAAATAAAAACAATTAAAAACATTAGAAAAAAATACATTTTATCATAATGGAAATAAAATATTATAAATTCTAAGAAATTTTTTTAAGCAAATAAATCATTTTTAATATTTATTTTTCATTATCATTATATCCTAATCATTATCAATACATTAA